AAATGCCATACTAAATTTCATCCAGCCATTGTGGCGTGACTGGATAACAAACATCCACACTTTCTCATTTATAGTAGAGATACAAACAAAAATACAAAGCGCAATTAATGTACAATTAGGGTTAGTCCATCTTTGTGGAAGCTCCTCCCCTATAAGGCGACCTAATAGGGTTGACGAAGTTCGTCCAAGGATCTGTTTCTATACTCGTGAGAGACGAATATCTGTGTAGTGGCCTGTGATAATACGGCTGAGTTACTGTTCAATAGCATACGACACATTTACTGAGTATTTTTAAGACTACTGATTTTACTCATGTTTTTCTGGAATGCTCATTTTTCTCATTATTTTGGAATGTTTCACAATGCAGTGAGCCCCCTAGTAGATCAGGTTAATAATCGATATTTGGTGTATCCCCACCCCACTCCTCCATTTGTGATAGAGACATTCGTTTTCAGATGTGCTGCTTATGCATAGGTCCCTCCTCGTCCTTCAATTTACTCGTCTATTGGCAAGAAAGTATTGTAATCGTGAAAAATTATGAAAATGAGATATGATTTTTGGATGTTATTTGACATATACATCACTAAAAACCATGTCACTCATTACCGATCTGACTTGGATGAACATTTTTACACAAGGTTACTACTAATAAATAGCTCAAACTTAGTTTTTGACGTTTCAGAGGCACCTGATCTTTCCCAGAAAAAAATATCTACGAGTTCAAAGTTGCTGGTTGGAGGAGGTTACATCCCAATTTTTGGATGTTAGTATATTTATAAGCTCCCAACCTCGGTAATTCTACGAACCTGTGAAAATTCAGAATGATAGAAAAATATTTTCCATATTAGTCTAATCATCCAACCAAATTTCACAGAAATAATTTTAAAGTCTGGATTTATTTATGCAGGTTGTTCAAGGGGGTATTTAAAACATGGCGCATAAACTTTTTATGGGAAAACTTTTTATTCGAGAACGAAGAATGAGAAAACGCGTTTTTGGAATTCAATCGAAGTTGTTGGCAGGAACGAAAAAAACTCTCCAAATAAGATCTTTAGATATTTATGAGACCTACAGAATGAGACCACACGTAAAAAGATCTCACTAATAGTAAAAAAGTTATGGCCAAAAACCGAGGCAAAATGCAGGTTTTGGTACTTGTTGCTAATGCGACAATAAGTTCGCGCAGCTACTTGAAATTCTTCAAATCCGAATGCTTCTTACTCCTCAATAACCACAACAAAATTGGAGTCGACTGGTCAAGTAGTTTTTGAGAATTTATAATTGTTTATCCCAAATCACCTGTCTTCCGGTCATCACCACTAGTTTATAGAGCAATATACAGGGTTCGTTTAAAGGGCATGTCAAAGAAAAATATACTAGTTAACCTTGACGACATGAATTGCAAGCTATTCCGAAAGATAATTGTTATTTTGATGCGAAAAGCGAAGGGTTATATTTTTTCTTATAAACAAATTCAAACATTCGCTACGACATTCTAAAAACATATATTATACACATTTTAAAACAAAGCGGATGTGTCTATAACCTTTTGTTGGGATGAACCATTTTTTTTATAAGTAGGTCACGTAATTTAGTCTTTTTATGAAGACATGTAATTCCCTGGACCCTTTTTTAATATAGTATACGTCTGTTTTCGAAATCAAGTACGATTAAAAAGACTGCGAGTTCAAAATGTTGGAACTGCGAGTTCAAAATGTTGGAAAATAAACTCGAAAAAACAGTACACAAATATCAACCAATTGTAGCGAACTGAACGTCTGAAAAATTAGTCCCAGATACATACGCTTTGTTTTAAAAAGTGGATAATAACGTATGCATGTTTTTCGAATCAGTTCAATTACAAAAATTGGTGTACCCATTTTATGCGTCCATATTTTTAATACCCCCTTGAGCAACTTGCATCAATAAAACCAGACTTTACAGTAATTCCCCAAACCAGAGGTATTTTCGTCTAATATGATTAGAGTAATGCTCTCTTTGTCACCAGCGGGAGTGTCGGTCTTGATATGTGTCCTGGCGTTACTGCCGCTGCGCCGCGCTGTCCAGTCAGGTATCAAGAAGAGGCGACCTTGCCAGATGGACAATACTACCGATAAGGCAGGGAAAGAATGGCTATGTACTAATTGTATGGGCCTATTTGACTACCTTATGAAGTGATGACGGAGTTGAGTGGGAAGCGAGCTAACGTACATGAAGCTATTTTTTAATCGCTAAGCCGTGAGCTGCGGAGGTTCAAATCCCGACTCAAAGAGATTTTTTCTCTTGGCTATGGATACTTCGTGCAGCATCACGGCAACGTCAGAGTTTACAAATCGTCCTTAAATGGCGACAGAGAGAGAGAGAGAGAGAGATTATACAAACTCAAGAGCAGGAAAATCGGGTGCTCCTAAAACACAATTTTAGTTTTCCTTTCAAAGAGGCCCTTGGGCACATGGTATTCCTGATCTGACCGTCATTTATTAAGCCAATTATTAAAACATAATCTAGGTCTAGGTAACAGCTAATTCTTATTGCATTTCAACTATTGTGATGCTTTACATGGCCCATATCTTGATAAGAGTGACAAAAATCGAATCGAACCGTTCATGCTTGAGATTTATTTATGTTATAAGGAAATAAATGAGAATATCCCACAGACTGCAAAATGCAGAGGTTACCTATGTTAGAGAGACATCGATTACTCTCATTAACGTTGTACAATAAAATTCAAATTTACAGGTTCCAGCGTACTTATATAATAAAATTTCCATTAGAAATGATGTCCATCACCTGAACCGTAGATATAATGTCTGTAAATTAAGTGATGAAACTGGCAACGTAGCGTTAGATCTGGAAAATCTGGAGGCGCCGATCTTCAAAGAGAGACAGGATAACATGTGATCCGCCTTCAGCACAAGTTTGAACTCGCTCGAATGACTTGGTCGTCCGTAGCGATTTTTTTGTGAAGCAGTTTCTCCTATTGTGATCGAAAAATGTATGACATCAATTTCGAGCAACGGTGTGCTATCAGGTTTTGCTTCAGACTTGGACACAGTGCAACGGAAACTCTTGCTAAACTTCAACGGCCTAGGGAGATACGTGTTTTGTCAAGAGTCCAGGTTTTTCGGTGGTTTAAGGCATGTTTAAAGTCGATTGAAGGTTAACCTTGAAGCAAGAACCGATGAAAATATCGACAGAATCTGGAATGTGCGTTCAGATCGTTTATTTGACAGGCCGAATGATTGGGGAAGAGTTAAATTTGACTCACACCACCGTTTATCAGATCAAGAACTATGAGGGTTCACAAGGAAGTTATTTTGAGGGTGACAATATACAAATAGGATTGTAATTTGAAAAAAAAACTAAAGAACAACGGACTAATCACTTAATTTACAGACCTCGTAAATACTTTATATCACCACATCTACGAAGAACGACTTCATGCTGAAGATGGTTCTCATATAAGTAATTTATACAATCCAATTCATTAGTTGATGGAAACCCTAATTCGCAATGCATTCAAGTCCGTGTTTACTCTACATTTACTGGCTCTGCGAAGTTATAAGTGAATTCACTGGTGCTCATTGTCTCTCATTTTTATTTTGTAGGTCGTCTTTTTCTGTTCTTCCCTCATTATATGCGTTTTATGTGGTGTCAGGATAACTATGGTTCTTGGTTTGTGGTTGTTTATATCTGGTATGTGTTTTGTTTATTTTCAAGGGCAAAGCCGATAAAAAGAAAGTCGTGGACCCTTTCGGTAAAAAACCTATAAAACGTCGGAAAAGAACTTATAAGATGTCATCTTGCAGACTAGGTAGTTTTTAGGGTGCAAACAGTCATTCCTCGTTTGCTCACTAGGATCATTGTGAGCGTCCATCTAGTGAGGAATGGCTCAACTACACGTACACACATTGTTGGTAGCATATGTTTTGTCTCTGAGAAGAAAGTAGGTTATTTGGTTGAATAGCACGACCGCATCTGGATGATTGTGAATATTGGTCTGCATGTCTGCATCAGTGATATTTGCTGTGTGCGAAAATCATTACTGAATATGTTGCCAATGAACTATATCTATTATCTGAGCCCGACGGATTATTTATATGTTGTTTGAGGAGAATTACGGGAAAACACCACTGCGCCCGCGTTGTATGTAATTACTGTAAGCATATTTATGACTTTTAAATTGACAGTGAATATAATTATTTCTTATCTCTCTGATTTTTGAAATTCAGTAAATTTGCATATGCAATTTCCAGAATGGATAAGAAAAAGTGGATGCGCAACTAATTTCTAGCTTTGAAGCTTAAGTAAGTGTATTTGAGTCAAGAATCCAATGGAATTAGCATCAACACATATTATTAGCACACAAATCCTCACTATGCGGTTACCTTCAGTAATGAAGCCTCATGACGGTTAGGCAACACGTATCTACAACTACAAAAGGAGTTCACAAAAGAATCCATCAGCTAGTGCTAAGTTAATATCCTGTCGAAAAACCTACATAATGTAAAAAAAACAGTATATCAAAAAAATCGATATAACGTCACTTTTCAAGACACTTAGTAGCCGTGCGGGGCGGCGACGGGGCGAGGGCACTTAGTAGGCACTCGGTGTCGAGCGAGAAGGCGGTACGAATGGTTTTACCCGTCCCGAGCTCCGTGATTAACAAAATTTTTAATCATTTAATTAATTCATGCATTTTAACGGTATACAACAGTTAGTTTTTTAGTTTCAATAATAAGGTTGCCATTTTATCAGCATTAGGTAGTCTATTTTGTAGAAAATGTAATTTTAGTCTTATGTATATCTGTTGCAAATAAATTCTATTATTAGTATTATTATGATCCGGCGGGCGGATCGGAAATTCAGATTCAGAATTGGCCTAATGTGATGATTCAAAAACGCATTTAAAAAATGCTTTCATATGAGACAATAATAATAGCGATATCATAATCATATTTCTATGACGCAACAATTCTAAAAGCGTCGCACTCTGTTGAAGGCTGACGTGGTCTCGAAGACTATATAAGCCAGTGAATTTAATCGAGGCATCAGTCCTCTTCCTGGGGCCATCGCGCCTACACCATCATCTCCTGAAGATACCCGCCGATACGATGTCACTATCCATCAGGATAAAACGAGAATCAGCAACAGGACGCGCGATGGCCTCGGGGAAACGACTCTTCGTGCCATCCTCATATGGGTACGATTTGGTGAGTACAACCACTGATATAATCGATATTTGGGGTGTTTCTCCTTCAGTAAACACCTTAACATTTGTGTGATGATTTGCTTTATTCTATCTGGTATCTCAGGCTAGGTATTGCTAGGTCGTTTATCTGCTTACCGCAGCAGTTCTGGTGACATAGTATTGCAATATCTTTCTGATCTGTTTTCAATAACAACTTTTATTCAGGGTGATCGTACCATACCACACTACTCAGAAAAATGTATTAAGTAGGTTTAACTAACACAATTTGACGGGCCAGGAACGATGAGTGGGATTTTCGGTACTGAAAATAAATTTCTAGTTCAATGAGTTTTTTGCATTTAAATTAGATTTTAGAACACATATTATGTTTTGAAGCTCACTAGGCATTTTCTCTCTTACTACCTGATTGTTCTTAAACAGCCCAAAGTTTACAATGTCGGCATTCCGATACCTACGTCTAACCATTTTTGAGATATTATCTCAAACTTTGCTTAAAGAATGACAAATGCATGTCAATCAATCACGATTTTTACTAGATTTGTGCTTTTGCCATATGATTTGTAACGGATTTCTTGACAGTAGGTTTTAATCTGAATTTGAGAATCAGTTAGTGCTAGATGGTCAAACAAAAAAGAAAATGAAAATTAGCTTTTAGGGAACCCAAAAAACATTTTATTCCAAATGAAACTACCGTCATATAATATCATCATATTGAGCAGTAAAAATAAGGTTAGTTTTGTATAACGTTGTCTACTTCACAAATTAATAGTTTTCGGGATATATGGAAATACTTGTGAATCTATTGCTTAAATCCTCAGAGATTTTTACCATGAGATAACCTTAAAGCAATTTTAAGAGATGCATCCCAGTTATTTCTTGGTTATGTCCTTGATCATTCTGGCATTTGTCCTTCTTACACAGTGCGTCCAACTCAACAATTCAAATATAAGTAACTACTTCACTGTAATATTAACAATGTACCTGACTACTTTTTAAATTCTGCTCAAAGATAATGGATGACTTCATAGATCTATCATCTGATATCGTTTTTTGGTACTGATAACTTTTTACGGAAAATTATACGTCACTGATGACACAAAACAAACATAATGGGCACAAAGTAATTGGAAATAATTATGTTATGTTGATGGACTGACGTTTGACATACAATGACCGTTATTATTGGTCTTAACAGCCATAAACTGTGACGTGAGAAAGGGCCAGTTCGTGACGTCATCATTTGGTAACTTTTACAAACCGTGTCACTTAAAATGAAAATGTCGAAACCAAACATGTCCGGTTATCATTGATAGATTGCTTCTAGTTAGCCATGGCGGAAATCGAGCGAACTATATCACTCTGTCGTCGCGTGTGCGTGTGTGGTTAATACAATTTTAAAATGCAAAATCGCGGGTTCCGAATTTCCATTTGGATGTATATTCAATTTCTATTCCATATTCACAGATGTACATCAGATCACCATCAAACCTCATCATAGCAGATGGCGATGAGGCAGGCGGCCGAGATCGTAAATCCCGTTCATTACCTGAATGTCTGCACTCGTGTCGGACCGGAGTGTACCCGGGCAATGTGCCTGAGTGGGCCTAGAAGGTCAGGTGACCGGAACGAATTTGACGGATCGTGTGAACGAGGCTTGATAGAATTCTGCGCGCGGATGGGACCAGTCTTCTAAACTGCAAAGTCGGCCTCAAGGTATGTTTCCATTAGATCTCAACTTGATTTGCACTGCCAGTAAATGAACACTTTTCACCGAACAGAACGTCTTCAATGGATGAAAATTTGGATTGCGGTAATGAAATATTGTTATTCAGCATGACGAAAAGTAGGCAAGAATTGAAAATTTTTTGTATAATTGATTTTTTGTTATGGTCCTGTTAATTTTAGGTATACGAAGAAAGAAGTTAAGAAAATTTTGTAGATTGATGAAGTTCTCGATATTTTCATATTTACGTTCGTTAACGAGACTGTGCCAATTCTTTTACAGTTCTCACTAGATCATGCGTAAATGCTAGGATGCGGGATTGCTAAAATGTTTTTGAGCCATTTACAACGCTCCATAATTAATGAAAATTACACAAAATGTTTTTAAACAAAAAATGTTATGAAGTTAAGTGCTATTTTAGGCCATAAATATTTTCACCATAGCGAAAAACTCTTGCAGATTTTTATTTTCCATTTGTTTCAGAATCGGAATAGCAAAATATCTACTTTCTAGAAAAGAAAATATAGCACTATAAATTTTCTGTACGGTATTTAACAATATCATGACGGGGAGTTAATAAAAACAACAATAACAACAGCACAGAGGATTTCAAAGTAAACTTAATTGACTGTACTAAACAGTTTTTCTTTACACGTTGTGCTATTTGAATAATATTTATATTCCGTATACAAGTACAAAACATGAAAATATTGTTGCAAAAACAAAAACTTTTCTCGTTGTGGACAGTTTCGCATGATAATTTGAGAATATACAAACTTAATAATAGTTAGTCTAAAAATATTGTTGCTCCAATTATATGTGTGACTCAAGTAAAAATAAAGAGAATCCGCAGAATGTAAATATGAAAATATAGGAACATTTTTTATATGCATAATATTTACAGGACCGTAACAAAAAGTTATAAAAAATTCATAAGGAAGATTATTTCAGTTACCTAAATCAAAATTTTCATCCATTATCGAATTTTGCCGGATTTTTGAGAACATTTTGTCTTCCTTAACCGGGCTAGTAATTTATCACATTTTGTAATCTCGAATACGTGATTTCTTCACATGTATTGAGATCAAATACAAGTCTTGTTTCCAACAGCTATGACATCTTCCGGAGGCGGAAATTAGACTTTCAACATTTCGAACTGTTAGCGTTTTCTATGTATTTAAAAAAAAATCCCCATAGAAAGTTTTTGTGTAGTCTTTTGTAGTCTGGAAGTAGTGCGACATCTTTTTGTGGTCTTCTCAGCTCTTAGCAGTTTTTTTAATTATTAATCGAGGTTTACATATATAACAATATCCCTTAAGGATGTTTGAAGAATATTTAAGAATTTTTGGCAAAAGCGTAATTTTCGTTTTCTGTATTGTTTTTCCTGGTCACTATGGAAATATTTTGCATTTGTTAGAAAAACAAATTGAACAATTACTTTTGATGCAATTTTGGGCCTGGCAACGTGCAGATTCGTTAAAGGGGATCCTTTTTGAATAAAAGACAGAATCAGAGTAATTTTCGAGCGGATGTGAAGATAAGTCCTGGATCAGTTGGCAACTAGTATTGTTATCAGCATTGAGTTGGGTACGCACGAGGGAGTCCAACGCATTTGCAGCTTTATAGCCAGAATCGTCACCCATCTAGCTGTCACATGGTGACTAGGCTATTAAACCAGAACTGAGAACAGTTCCAACTAATCGCAGCTATGCGCTCTCCACAGTATTATATTCCGGTGTGATAAATGGCGCTTTGCTCTGTCTTCTTTAACTAGCTCACCCTACGCATAGTGTTGAAAAAATGTCATGTCTCTGCCAATATCACGATTTTTATGAGTTAAATATAGGATTCCTTTTTTGGCAAATTCATTACAGCCGCCATGTATCACTAACAAATACCGCTATTTTTTCCAGCAATCACAGGTGTATTCCAGACCATGAATCAATGATTCGATCAAATCGTTCCGAGACTTGGCGGTGGCTCACGCAGAGGTTCGAGGGAAATCTCCTCTAGTGAACGGCGTATTCGGTCACTGGAGTGAGCGAGTACCTCAACACCTTTGAACTTGTGCACTCACCCACCTATATACTTGACAACCTAAGCATTTATAAACTTGATACGCTAAACAACTATAAACCTGATACCATAACAACTAAAATTAGCGTTGGTGATAAGATTCGGCATAGTTAAGCTCTGTAAGTTAAACTCAGCATAGCAATGTACAGCCCAAAGAAAGTTAGGGTATCGTCAGTCGTTCCTACAATAATTGTACGACGCCTTTATGGCCTCCTTGATTTTCATAGTCTTTTCTAACCTTCAGAAAGGCTGGGATATTTCTAGATTTCTACTGTTCCGTGTCAGCATCAGAGCTCGCCAGTTGTGACGCTATTTTTTCTTTTTGAATTGTAGGCTTATATAACAGATGATACGAGTATAAATTAACAGCATGAAGAATTTGATGCAAACAGATTTGTAACATAGCCTCCAAATAGAGCGCTGACACGGAAGATACGGCCCTTAGTCCTCCCAAATATATATTTGAGTCTCTGAAAAGCTGAGCGGAGTTATACGATGCAAAGCGCTATGCCGATCCAAGTCACCTTCTCTTCTTCTGCGGTGGGTTTTGGCCTTTCACGGTCAGAAGTCGCGGGATTTACCATTTCGACTAGGCCTGCTGAACGAGAATAAGAAAGGGATAGCATATCATCCCATCCTAACCGCCAGATCATGGAGGTATTTAGTAAAACAAGCTTGCAAATGATTTCATACTTTTTTCAAGCCATACTTGAAGTTCCAATATTTTGTCTTCCGATGACATGTTACGGTCTGTGCCAAAATGAAGCAGCTAATGTCACAACATCAGTGTCTGCTGTGATACATGAGAATTTATCATCCAATTTGATATTTATTGAACGTCTGGTATGGAGGTCAGTAATCAGGGGTGTATAAGCTTACGTAAAGTAAATACTGTAAATAATACTGATGATACGGCCCATAATAAATACTGATCGTGTGACGTTCGCCTCGTGTATCGTACAACACTGTTGAGGCGGGGTGCGCAGGGTATTTGAGCTTAGGAAAAATGTTAATTTCAAAATCTCTCTTTTGACACAAAGCTAAATTGCGTAATTTCTCGCGCAGTGCTCAGAAGCTAATCTAAACTTACTTTTATGAATAACTTTTAATTTCCATCAACTATTCTGATTACCTTCTAGGTACTTATGCGGGACATTATACGATTTAGTTGAGTATCAAAAGAGAATTGCCAGTTTTGAATTAAAATTTTTCCTAACCTCAAACACACCGCGAACCCCGCCTCAGTGCTGAGTATACCATTACGGTATGTTATGCTTCCTCACAGATGCATATATTTATGTAGAATACAAAAAAATATATCGGAAGTCCTAATAAAAATGTTCCACGGCAATACTGACCCCTAAAGAACGGTCATTATAGGAAAATTGATTTTTTTTATACTAATAATTTTACTGTATGATTGAAATTTAGACCCCAGGTTGGCCTAGTCCTAACGCAATTATGCTAATTTTTTTACACGCTGTTCAATAATGGCTCAATTATGATCTTTTTGAACCTGATCCTTGAGCTGAACAAATTTACTTTTTTTTTATCTTCATTAAAATAAAAAAACCTATGAATTTGTTTGCACTGCATCCGGGATATTGAGCCCCAGGATATAAATAGAATATTTGAATCGATTATCAATATTTAGGTTTTGTCGGCCATTTCGAGGATGGGTTACAATGTAAACCGGTAGGAACAATACTGGAATAAGCATTTTTCCTCTTTATCGAAATCCAACAAGAATTCGATTTTTCAGCTAAAAAACAATAGACCTCTCAAAAATATGTTTGAGTAATTATTATATAAGGGTCACTTAGAGTCAATTATTGGGTATATAAGGTCTGATGGAACACATTTTCCTATTATAAACTTGTCGACATTTCGAAAACATATATTTTCTTCCTCAAGGCTCTGCACAGAAAAATAAATAAAACCACTAATTTTACACTCACACTAAATACCAATTTAAACAAAAAATAGATGTAGAAGTTACGTATTTTAGTTACAGTATAAAGTGACTATTTAATACATATTTTTAAGTTTTTTAAAAAGTGTAATGATTCCCGGCACGTACACACATGAAAAACTAAAGATAAAACAATTCGTTATTTAGATAATTTAGGAATGAAAGTTTTTTCATTGCTGGAAAAAGTAAATTATAATGAACCAACCCGTTCAGTCAGAAGCTATGCTGGTCAAATAAAATTTAAATGTAGTGAACATTCTAGGCCTAACATTCAATCGCTGCTGGTTAATTAGTTGCAGTTTCGATATTTATATCTAGAATGTAAAACATTAAAGTGTAATTTGACCACTACAGCTTCTGCCTAGAAGGATGGATCCATTGTAGTTTCTTTTTACTCGTATTGAAAAAACTTTCATGCATTTGAAGATTTTATCTAAATATCGAATCATTTTATATTTTATGTGTGTATATAATGGGAATCACTACATTTTTAAAAAACTAAAGCATGTGTTTTATTCATTTATAGATGTGCTTCTAACTAAAATAACTAACTCGCAACTTTTACATATATATTTTTTGTTTAAATTGTTAATTAATCTGTAAAGTTGGTATTATTTTTTATTTTTTTGATGTCATGCAAGAATATAAATGTTTCCAAAACCCTGACAACCTTATAACAAGGAACTGTGCTACTTTAGACTACGTATCCAGTTAGCTATACAAGGTGTAAAAAAGTCAATAATAGGGCTAGGCGTCTTCCAGCCTTGGCAATTTGAATGAGTCAATTATTTACCATAGATACCGTCATGTGAAACCTCAACTGGTTACTGAACTGTCAAAATTTTGTTGAGTTATAGTGTCAAGTGCCGTTCAAAAGTTTAAGAAGTACCGAACAGTGGAGTACGATAAACTTTTAATAATCTAGAACATAAACATGATACCACTTTGAGACATATTTTACGAAACGAGATTAACTGAACTGTTCTATTTCAGCGATCGTAGAGTACTACCGATACCATGGGTCGGCGACCCGACAAAGTCGTTCCGGAACTGGACGTGGTCTGCGCAGAGGATGGGGGGAAGCTCCCCCGGTGGACGACATGGTCGGTCATCGAGGCGAGCAAGTACCCCCAACCAATGCAAAGTCACGTCTAATGCACAAAGCTCAAAACATTCGAAAAAAACGCAACAGAATCAAAACATTAAAAGGTACTTTTAATGCCTATACTATAATGTTTTTTTTCCAAATATATTGCCGCAAATAGCAAAGGCATGAAAACAAGTCCACAAAAATAAAAAGGTGGTATGTGCTGAGGGCACACTACATCTCATGTATTTTTTCCACTGAACACGAATCTGAGGTCAGAATTGGGGTAGCTGAACAAATTCTAGAGAAAACCCGTAAAAACGATAAAAATAATAACGCTGAAGAGGAATTTGGGGTCGGAATTCAGTGTCGGTCGACAAATAAGAAAGTAACTTTGTCATCAAGGTCACAAAATTGGAATCTTGGTGAATGGGCATTGTCTATAAAAAATATGCACGTTCACCAAAATTTCAAAACGGATAATCTTGGTGTCCCATCTACCAACACACACCACTTTATTTTTGCGGATCTGTGTAATTAAAGGCACAAGCAGGGGCGCACCAGGAGGCGCCGAGGCCCCCCTGAGAACCCGGTTGGATAATAAAATTTGAATATTTAGCATGGTTTTGTGTACAATTGTGAGAATTCTTAGGATTTGGCCTCTCCTGCGAAAATTTGCTTCGAAAGCTTTGGGGGCAGGTACAGTTTCACAAACAGTAATCTCGTGCCAATGATCGACCCCACTGAGAAAAATGTATGTGGGCGCTCATGCTTGTAGTCGTCAAAAAAGTCTTCACAGTCATGAGATCCGCTACAGTGAATTTGAACTTCACAAAAACCACATTTTGTTCTGGGTGTTCTGGTTATTTTTTCATTTTTATGATCTTTTTTTATTAGACTTTGAATGCGATGTAGTGAATACATTATTATTATTTTAAATTACTATTATTTGGAACAACAAAAGAACTGCATTTACCATTGAATCCCCCTACTTCCTTTCAAGGACCGCTTAGGGTTGTATTTATGGATATATTTTTTGATTAATGAGAGGTTTTATTGGAGTTAAACCAGCCCTATTTTATAGATTTTCATAGATATGCACATTATGCGAAATAAGAAAGATAAAAGTTATTCTCTTTTGATGCATAGACTGCGAAAATGAAAAGTCTTCGAAGAGAAGGCTGTGCTTTAGATACTTGGCAACGATAAAAATATTGGTATTAACAGGAGTTTTTAAGCACTGAAAATGGCCATTTTTAGTCTTTTCCAAACAATGAATATCTTGTGCCTCAAAAACGGTAAAACTTAAAGAAGTTTCTATGGATCTTTAAATATTTCGTTGAAGTTGTTCAGAGAAATTGAAAAATCTTACTACGGGTTACCGATCGGCAACCTCTTGATTGACGAGCGGGTTTATATGATCACACTATATGCCCAAAAAGGTAATTTTAATATAATAATAATAATAAAATCGTTATTTTTGAGGTTGCCAAGTGTCCAAATAGAAATTCAAACCTTCCCCTGCAAGATAAGCACGAATATTTTTAAACTTGGTGATTTTTAGCCTTGTATGTCAGGCCCTAATTGGCCAACTTTGACTTTCGCATACTGTACGACTCAGTAATTAAAACTAAATAATATAACTCATGTATTGTTTTCTCTTTATAGTAAAAAATCCACAGTTAAGGAAAAATTGGAGGGGGCTTCACCGCCCCTTCCTTTTTTTCTGTGGTGGGTTTCGGCCTGACACGGTCAGAATTCCCGGGATTTTCAATTTTGACAAGCTCCTGTTGCCCAACAACATCGCACCGGACCAAACAACTGCACCAAAATACTCCAACTCACCATCTGAATACTCGCTGAACTAATGTAAGTAAATTATGTCGAAACGTCGTCTTAATGAGTTGAAAATATCCATTCAGTTTTAGCAATAATTTTCTAAGCTATTTTCTAGATTTTTCGTAACTATACAGTTATTGTTTGATTTGGTTGCTATAATATATTTTTAATGTTAACTTCTGCAAAACAATTTGCAACATGCCTCTACCTGCTACTAAAAAATTCAGAGATTGATACCCCCAAGCTGCGTGTGTTCAATTTTGGGATACACTTCGTAAGTTTTTTTGCTAGGATATGATGTGATGACCGTCACCCTTCTGCCGATTTCTACCTCTTTCTAACATGTTTGTGTTGATTATATACTTCTCGCGCTTCTCTCATTGAACTCAAGCCGTCAGAAAAATTTGGTTTTCCCTGTATATACAACAACTCTTCAACTAAACGACGAGTATGCAAAATGTTTTTGATGAGCTTTAACGTCAAATATCTCTAGATCTATTTAGCCGAAGCTCTGCCTTTGATTTGCCGACTGATACACGTTAGGAGATACAACTGGTATTGAAATATTGGACACATACTTGTCACTCGACCTGAAGTCATGTCTAGAGTGCTTCCAAGTGATTTTACGTTTTGTCGCAGTTAAATCGTATTTCGTCCACTTTACCACAGAAAATATCAGACCCCAAAATTACAACAACAGCAATTATATCTATGACAGACAATCGAGTCACCGGCACATTAATTATATCTATGAGTATGTAGTGTTCCACATATGTGTCTCCTAACGTGTATCTGCCTGATACATCGTGAGCTCACGTGACATGACAATAATTCCATATACATATATGATTAAAACCTGCGCCATGTAGCTCACGATATTTTTCCTGTACAGGCAACCAAGGATCAAAGATCTGCAAGAGGAAAATCAGTGGGGGCGGTAACCGCCTCCACCTTTGCTTCTGAGGTAGGTTTTGGCCTTTCACGGAAGAATTCTCGTGATTTTCCATTTCGACGAGGACCTGCAAGACGCACAAACTGACCATCAGTATACTCACCAAACTGACGTAAGTATATGCCCGATAAACTAAAGCTGCTCACTCAGACACATATATTGTTACTTGAAAGTCAAATCACTAACAACACGCAGTTTCCCAATTCGAGTTCGTATCGATATGCGTAACTTAATCGATACGATAACTACAATTCAACTCAAATGGCAACACTGTATACGAGTGGTGGATTTTACCTCCATGCAGCGACTGGTCAGTCCTTTGATATTACTACGCCAGTGGGCAGCTTCAGGGTCGGCATTTTTGATAACAGATGGGCGAAAAGTTGTAATGTGATTTCAGTTAGTTACTATTTCTTTATTATTGACATAAATTAATCATTCGGGTAACATCCTTCAATTTTTGTACACAAAGTTATGAAGTGTTTTGCAAAAATGTTCTTCCTCCCATTGATTTTTGAACGGGCCCCGCTACCTAAATGACGCATGAATCATATATTTTAACGAAAAAATAGAAGTTGAAAATATCAAGATAAGATACAAAATCACTATCATCTAGAATGTAGAACTGACAGGCTGTCAAAACGCTATAGTATATATTAATCTTCGTCTTTTGGAAGGATCTACCTGTATATAATAAAATATGCAAAATTCCATTGAAAAGCATTTTTTTACAAACGGGTTGCTCTATATTTTACTGCACATTCAGATAGTCCCTTTCAAAAGAAAGAGATTGATATAACATAAATAGCGTTTTGATATTTGGATATTGGATTATAAGCGATTCAATGTACAAAAACGTTCAACTATGACAGTTTTGCCATTTTGAAATATAAGTTTATAATATAACTCCACGGTGTCTCAATATTCCGTGGATATACAGGGTGACTTCGAAGTTGGGTCATTTATTTTAACAGTGAGTAGATCTGATCAAAAGAAATGTTTTTTTCCTTTACCATTTTTCTGGTAAAATTAAAGTAACAAAGTTATAGCCCTTTGGAAGTTTGAGTACCGCCCTGTCTCAATAATAATATCATGTGCTCGTGTTTGGCAACAACGGATATAATCCGCCTTATCGGTTCATCGCATCGGAAACAAAAAAGCGAAAGAATTTGGAACGATGTTTTTACAATTATTTTATTCAGTTCAGTTATACATACAGTCAGTGTCAGTCGGTAACGCGTGTGAATAGTGTCTGTTGCGTGGCTCAAACGAAATAAAAAATGGCACATGTTTATGCGGATCGGTTTCCAAATCGAGTGCAACCAACCCCTCGTGCCTTTGTTAATGTAGTACAACGGGCTCATGAATCAGGTGACTTAAGACCTCACAGGGGACCTCACGATCAAATACCGTTCCGCACTGAAATACTTGTCGGGAGGATACTTTATAAAACAAGGTAAACATTTTTTTTAATTTTTTTTTATTTTTACACACATATTTTGGTTTATCTTGCTTCTACAATCATTATCTGAAAATTAATGACTCAACTTCAAAGTCACCCTGTAGAAGTACCAGGTTTTTTTCGTGCTTCGTTTGTCCGAAATTAGGAACACATGTGTTTTGCTAGACGTCCTAATATTTGATTTTTACAAAAAAACCGAAATGGTTCACGAAGAGGAAAACAAGAATTTTTTCGCAACTCTCTCAATGACTCTGAATTATTATTTATTTAAAAACAGGCCATATTGTGTAGTTTTAGAGAAAAACATTGTTTTCGGAGCTGGTTACTAAAAAAATGTCTTACTACATCAAGTGTTAAAATGTTTGCACCGGATTTTATGTGCAGGAACGAAAATAGTGGTCATATTGAACACCTTTTAGGAAAGATTCGCGCTACTGCTTGTATTAAATAAAATTGTAATAAGTAATATCATACTTGTTCATTGTTGCTAACTACTCCTAAAGACGCTTGGGAATCTCTTGATGCAACATATTTTTTTTTCTCGCAAACTATCCGAGATGGCCTGTTTTTATAGGAGACAACAAATGAAGTAAATAACAATACCTGCTAAATAAGAAAAATCAGTGTCGTCGGGAAAGTTGGCAAAATATTCTGCTATTATTTATGTAAGTGTGAGGGTACTTTTTACCCTACTTGAATCTCCGAGTTTTCATAAAAGTCAAATATTAGAAGGTCTAGCAAAATATCGGGTCTTGAAATATCTGAAAAGATGAGTTTTAAAAAGAACACTGACGCCCACTAAACGAAGCACTTTTGTATAGAGGTCAATCTTGTCCAATCAACTTATTTTGAGTCTGAAAATACGTTGCACTTCTATGTCAACGGAAAATGGGGACACCCTGTGTAGTACAAAAAAAGGAGCTTCGGGGTCTCCTACTTCCCATTTATGGTAAAATAACTAGTGTGGTACTTTTGTAAAAGCTTCAATACTAACCTGACGAGCCATCAAAACTATCGTCCTTTGACGATTTTCGAAAATCCGCTTCGAAAGACAAATCGGGCAAGAATCTCTAAAAAAGGTTTTTTAGCAAAAATCACGTGAAGCTCTAAGCTAAGAAAACTCCACCGGGTAGAACGCAAGCCTCCAATTTTTTCTTCATAAATTGCCGAACGATTTAAAGGTTTTTTTTAGTTAGTAACGACTAGTAATTATCTAATTTTTCACTAGACATATGTAAACCAGGAATTCTAGCTTCTAGGGAATAAGCTAAAGGGTTTAAGTTCTGAGACTGAGCAGGCCATAAATTAGGCTATCCAGTGATAAGTATAACGAATGGGTTTGCCATTTTATGGCGAGGGTATTCTTTAGTTATTCATCTCCACTTGATACAAATTTGTAAATATAGTAAGAAAATGAAATACAAAAAAGTAAAGATCAATTATGTAATAATACATAAAGACGAATGAATAACTATTATATCTTTATATACTCAAATGCAAGTTCGTCCATTCCAAGTACTCAGCTACACTGTAAAATATAGTTACTAATTTGTTGGATTTTAACTGGTAATTTGTCGAATATGGTGCAGTTGTAATGTGGGGACATTTTGAAATAGGTGCTGGTATGTTTCTGAACTATTTTCAAATTTTGATTTCTTGTCTTGTACTCGTGAAAACCATCGATATTTGGAAATAAACTGTTATACAACATAGGTTACGCATTTCAAAATGTAAGTACAATTCAGATTAATAATTTCTCTTGACTTCGAAATTTCTCTACAGGAGTCAAGTGGCTTCATTCCAAAAATAAATCGGATGATTCCTTCTTGGGCCACAAATATGACCCATATTATGATATTGAAAGATATGTGGCTATAGGCCAATGTTTAATACATATCACTAAAACTCTTTTACCTGCAGTATAGCGAAATATGCCTTGCTTAAATTTTTACAAACATTATTAATATGTTCAACATTGGTTTTAGTTCAGGATTTTATAAACGAATTAAGCTTGTAAATTATATGTAATGAATTTTTTTTTCAGACCTCCGCTAACCAGATGTGGACGGCAGAATGGCAACGAAAGATATTAATTAAGCATTCACTATTAATTACAACTCTTGATTTCAACTTTTTTTTTCCATACATTTCGACTCAATTCAGTTTATGCAGAATTTGTAGATTTTCAGTTTTTAATAAATGTCAGATTGCTCTTTTTTTTCAGAACAATTTAATTTTCTCAAAATTATTCTTTTAATTTTTATGACTTTGTAATTTTTTGTAATAAACAGTATTGAAAAACAGTGGCATCATTTTGATACCGTGTTCCTTTAGGAATAAGTAGATATCGTGCTCGTGCTGCTATTTGAGCTAAAATTCTGCGTCAAATATTATAGTACAAATCTATATTACTTCTTGAATGAGCACGTCCAAATATCCTAGTTTTAACTGGACTGTCATAGTCATAGCAAAAGTCTTTATCTAAATGAAAATACATATTAATTTAGAGATAAAACTGGATAGACCAATCGTATTTCAAAATATGGTGAAAATGCTTGTTACATTATTCAATACTTTTACAAGGACTTTCACCATCTCTTTAAAATATCAAGTTTTGAAAATTAGTGCGATCAGCCAGTGATAAAGCGTAATTTATTGTTTCCTTTCGATTTTCTGTTTTTCGGACTCACTTAATTTATTTAGCTATACCTACCTATTTTTATTTTTCAATCTTCTGATTAAATAAAAATCGGATACCTCCTAGTCAAACATACAAGATTCAATAAACTGAAGCTGATTCCAGTCTAATGTAACTGTTTATCGTTAACCTTTAACCTTTTACAATTTTTAATAGGTTTACCAAGTAGGACGAAGTAGTACATAAATGCTCACGTAACTTTGATATTCAACCATACTAAAGACCGTAAAGACCTATAAGCATATATATATTTGAATTTTTTAATTCCCGCTAATATTGACTGATTTATTTGTTAATGTTGTCAGTTAGTTGTCAAAAAGCAGGTAATGTGTTTCGTCAGTTAGTTGTCAGTTTTGTTTATGTCTAGATTTTTCGATATATTTGGCGGACCTTGTACAGTTCTTGAGTTTTCTAGGTCCATAAAGGAATTTGAAGTTGATGTTGAGGGTTAAGTAAGTATTTAAGCGGATAAAACGTGAAAAGGCGAAAAGTATTCAACTGCGACGAATAGAGATCACTGTCAAATGTACTTCAAAAAGGTCACCGTGGAGACTAAGACGTCGTAATTAAAGAATTTTTCAAGCAAACTATATGTGATTTGATTTGGCGGAGAGACAATGAAGTTCTATCAACATAAAGGCCACAGGATAAGTTATAGAGGGTTAGTGCATAACAATCAGATTCCAACATCGAACATTCGCCACTAGTTATGAAAACTTGATTAGGTATTCAAATAATGCAATAACTATTTCCTGGGCAAGGAATTACTGCCAGCATCGAAAATTGATGTTAACCTGGTATGCGTGGCCGCACCTATCTATTTTTGGCTTGCTCGCTTGTTCCCGATCGCTATTACAAAATCGTTATGATTTAATTAAATTCTTCTGGAAGTCCAGCAATTATTTTTACACCAGCTACAGTTTACAACTGGAAAGCGTCGAAATTTAATACGAACAACTTAAAAATCACAAAATAATTGCATCCACAAACTTGCATAGCAATTTACAATAAGAACTCACAGAAAAACCACCACTGCTCTAAACTGATTAAAAATGAATGTGTTGGAGATATCAAAATAGTTCCTATACTCATTGTGAACATATAGAATATAGCGGTGAGTGCACCAATATGTTCGTTCGTAGGTAAGTAGAAGGCAAAGTTGGCCCTTGTTCATAACAAAAAATGTTGGTGATGCTGGTAATTTACAATCTTAAATAAAACAACTAGGCTGAGGAATCCATGCATTTGAAGTAAGATGTGATTTTGTTATAGGAGTATAAATACCATAGTTTTAAGTGATAAGTAGTTCAATAACTTCCTCTGAATTTTTTCCAGTGACTCGTAGCATGGGTTCCACATTAAGCCTGCATATTCCAGCTTAGAAATAACAAACAAATTGTACAAGACTGTAGGTGGTGTGGTACCGGTAAACTTTCTTGAATTTCTTATAACGAATCCCAGTGCTTCATTAGCAGAATTTCATAATTTAAAGAGGTGTGAATTGAAGCTCAACGTACTGTCAAATATTACCCCCAGGTCACTGAACTCTTACGCCTGAAGAGGGGTGTTACTAATTTTGTAAATATTTGTGATGGCATTTACTTTCCTAGTAAAAGTTAAAGATTTACATTTACTCACCTTGATGGAAAGTTTATTAGCATCACACCACTCAGTCTATCAAGATTCGTTTGTAGACATGAGCAACTAGATTTAAATTTTCATTACAAGTTCCTGCCAGTAACAATTAAAATAAGCAATATCAAGCTAACATTCGTTCTGCCATTGAAATGGTGCAAAGTCTGCTAGACAAGGCTGAATCGTATGATTACAGTTAATTCAATTACATAGAACATAGTCGTTAATTAGAGAATAACATGAACAATTATCTGTTTGATTAAATACAGCGGCGATGTTCATCTATTTGTGGTGTTTTAGCGATACTAGCAACGTTCCAAATTAGCTTGATCTGAGTCTACGCTCCTATCACAGCATACATTTCATTTACAATATACAAACGTTTCACCTATTGTAAAAGGATGTCCATCGTCTTCGTTTTTAAAAGTGATACGCGTTTTAAAAACGATATGTTTCGCATATTACTCATTAATGCAACAGTTACATTTATATTACATAGCTCAATGTTTGACGAATATTGTGAAAAGTCAACTGAACGAGACGTCAAAGAACTTATCTATTCAAACATACAAGTATGTTGCTCTATAGACTAATATACCTAATATGACGTTACAGCATCTTGTAAAAAATACGACGTTTTATGTAAAAAAATCGCAGTTCCGAGATAACTTTGGAAATACCTTTCGGATTTGGATAACATTTTCACACAAGGTTACTACTCTCTCCAGAAAAAAATACAAAAATCGTTAAGAATTCGTTTTTTGGCATTTCAGAGGCTCCCGAACATTTTCGGAAGGAAGGTGGGAAAGGGTATATCTCAATCGTTTGAGGGTATATTTATACGTGTAAAACTCCAATAACTCTACGCACTCAGTAGACATGTTTCACTCATCACAGATTTACCATTAAAACTTATACATAGAGGCTAGAAGACTAGAGCCTCAATTCCTAATATAGGTATATTTCTACAGTATACAAATAATAATTAAGCAATTAGTCTAGAAGATATTTTTATTTTTCCCGACACAAAACTGTTATTAAAAACTAAAGAATTTCATACATCGTCTTTGCATCCATTTTCTCCACACTTTTATGAGAAGTTTCTTCATTAATTTTTCACTAACGAAATTTCAGGGACTTTTACCGAGTTGTACAGGCCTTACTTAGAATGGAAGCTTTCCCAAAATAGTGAGGGGTAAAGTTGTTAGCATGGAGTTTGTGTATAAGTTAGGTTCTTTCATGAAACAAGCTGCAGTAGAAGCATCCTTTACTCATGCATAAATTATAATTTCGACTAGCAATGAAAATTTAATGATGCAAGCTCATATTACTTCCTGTACACTAGATGAACTTTCTCTAAACGACATAGTCGTGGCAACGATATCAGGTGGAGCACATTCGTTTCCATCATCAGAAGTTGAAAAAAAATGGCGTCAAGTAGGTTGACTCTACATTTACCAAGCAAGTGCGCAGGCAGACGTCTGAGCGCTGCGGCCGCTATGAAGAGTTCAAAGAAACTTTGTTAATTTTTCAACTAGGGTTAGTAGAGCTGAGGTAGATTGTTCCACAACCTCGATATCCTAGTAACAAAGAGGCTAGTTCTGGGTGTACGAAGTTGGATGGGAGAAGTCGGGCGGACCTCTCTGGAAGCCACATCGCGCGACAGCATCATGGAGGAGAGCTCTGAAGAGCAGAGTCCGTTTACATATGGGTAGAAGAGAGCCAGATCGGACAGACCTCTGAACAGCATCAAACATGGTTAATGTAGACAGGCGACAGCACCCCAAACCAAGGTTTGAGGAGCATTGGCGTAGCGGTAGAAGAAAGCTAGATCGCCGAGGGTCCATCAGTGTGCAAGGGTCCCGAGACTGTCCGTTACAGAAGAGTCACCGATCAGTCGGAAAACCCTCCTCTCATTAGCATCGGGCATCGATAATGTAGTCGAGGTGGCAGAACTCAAGATATACGCGCAGTACTGGAGGCTAGGTCTTATCTGAGCCTTATACAGAGTGAGGAGGTTATATGGAGAAAAGTACTCGTACTTCTTCACCCTAAGCAAAAAAGCCTAGCTTCTTCCCAGCAGCTACCACTATCTGGACTTAGACCAGCCGAGATGAAGCATGTCATCAGCAAAACTATGGATCGGATAGATCGTACAGGAAAGGAGGTCGTTGATATGTCTAAATAGAAAATACATTTTCGCTCTAGAGCGGTAAAGCGGTTGATGTCGATCAGGCCTCGTCAAACATTAATTTTGCGTGATTGATTACAAAGCAATAAAACGTACATTTTCGGGCGGCTGTAGAAAAAACTTACTACGCCAACAATTCAAGGAGCTATTTGGGCGCTGCAATATTTTCTAACGAGGAATCAGCCTGACGTTCATTTAAAAGTAAAAACCCAAGCAGCTGAAACTTTGCCAATTACGTCATTCGTCTTCTTAAGAAAATATAAGTTTATTATTGATAATGCCTATTCGCCTCGTGCGGAACGAGGAGTACTAGGTCGCCTTTAAAATTTTATTCTTCATTACGAACTTAAAGGTAATTTTTTAAAGTTAGATTAGTTCGCAAAATTGTTGCAACGCCATTGGTTTTAAATTTACTTATTCGTGAACAGGCAGAAAATCCAACAATAACACGCCAAGTAATAAATATCGGTAATAAGGTGATCCATTATAAGTATTATTGCATGCGGGAAGTTATCTGGAAGAAGCCGGGTCATGTAGGAGACAGAACAATGAATTCAAAAATCTATTTTGAGAATAGTGAGAGAGAGTCTGAGAGAGAACGAAGAGAAAGAGAGACAAAGAGAGAGAGTGAGAACGAGGGAGAGAAAGAGAGGGAGACAGAAAGACAGAGAAAGACAGAAAGGGACAAAGAGTCAGAGAAAGAGAGAGAGAAAAAGAGATAGTGAGAGTAGCAGAACCAAATACTCTCAACTCTTTTCAGTAGATTTTAAATTAATTT